CCCGTTTTTTGTAAAAAAAAAAAAAAAAAAAACATTAGGAAGCTTATAGAGTACTCCTGGGGACTGGGGGAGGGGCAAAATTGAGCAAAAAATAGCCCATTTTTTGCTCATTTCTGCCCTCCCCAGCCCCCAGGAGCTCTCTGAAAGCCTCCTACAAGCTATGCATGGCCATTTTGGTGAAGGAGTGGGGTTTCAGGAGGCAAAAAAATGCTGTATTCAGTGTATAAGACACACTCAGATTGTCAGCCTCTTTTTTGAGGGAAAAAGGTGCGTCTGGTATTCCGAAAAATACGGTAGTTCCTACTTATAAGCCCCACATTTGTAGAAGCTTCAGCTGGGATTTGAGTTTCTATCATTTGATGGCTCAGTGAATGCAGTGTCTCTCAAAGTTGGCTATGGACAAAGAGAAAGAAAACACAGTCTGAGATATATTGCATTGGTAGAAAAGTTAAATTGCATGCCAGAGGCAAAAATTTCACACCCAGATTTGAATGTGAGATGCTTCCTGACTAATTGCACTCTCTTTTGCTGCTGTGTTATAAAATTGAAAACTAAATATTGAATTCTTCTGTATCTTGCCTGTTTTCTCATGCTTACAAACCTGGATTTCTTCTACACATTCCTACGTGGATTATATTTCTGGAACTACTTCTCTGTTCTCTGGCTGGACATGCTAAATGTTTCCTCGGGACTGTCCCATGTCGTCCTGACTTGCCCACATTTCCTGTTTTCTTCATTCTGTTCCCACCCGGGATGGCTATTATGTCCTGTCACTGTTATCCAGGAAGTTGTTTGCAATGAGATCTTAAACATTGCTGAAAAATCTGTCCATTACTGCAGCACTCTTTCTCAGCCTGTCTTTTGTCATAAGGGGCCGTTTAGTGACAATAAATCATCTTTCATCATTTCTCAGCAACCACAAGTCCTGCCATTAGAAACTGGCCTGGACCGGAATCATGCCACACGAGAAATGTAAGTTGGCCTGGACTTATTTTCATTTTTGTTTTTTAAGAATAAAGGTCCCGGTCAAGGAATTTGGGGTTATGTTAATTTTAGATTGCAGTTGTGCCCTAGAGTGTGATGTGAACCTATGGCACGCAGAATCCTCTCTGCGGATAAGTGAGCCATTGCCCCAGCTCAGCTCCACCCAGCATGCATGCGCGCCTCCCACAGGCCAGCTGATTTCCTGGTCTCTGCCACACAAGTGTGTGTGTGGGCCGCATGTAGGAGATGTGCACGCATGCGTGAGTGGTAGCGTGCACATACACAGAGGGTGCGGTGCGCCATCCTGTGGCCCGTTTCTGCTCCCCCGTTTTGCAGGGAGGCCTGCTAGGCCCAAAATGGGGCATGGGGGTGTGCGCACGCATGCGTAGGGGGGCGCAGGATGTGTGTGCATTGCATTATGGGTGTGCGTGCACTGTCACGGATATGCACACTTTCTGCACATAATGACAAAAAGGTTAGCCATCACTTCCCTAGAATTATACTATCCCAGTTCTAGGGAAGTTTTGGAGGAAATTTTATCCATTTTATCCCAGAGAAAGGTCCTGCAATTGGTGATGTAGCCACTCATAGCCGCTGGGGATGAGTTTGAGGGATCCTCCCTTCCTTGTTGAGAATCTTAGATAACTTGGAAACACCACAATCTTGCTTTGGGGTCACCCTGGCGGATGAGTTTTACATAGTCGCTGTATATACATGTAAAAATTAAAGGCTGTTTAGAATTGCTTTTAGTATGTTTTGTGCCTTATTACCTCTTTTGCTCTGTACCCAAAGAAGCATGGCTAGAAAGGCTCACGGTTGTTATCTTTCCTCCTCCCCCTCCTTCTATCATGAACCTTCAGGCTTACCTATCGAGCACTTTACAGCTACATCCCGCAGAACGATGATGAGCTGGAGTTAAGAGATGGAGATATCATCGATGTTATGGAAAAGTGTGATGATGGCTGGTTTGTTGGTAAGCAAAGCTGCCAGCCTTTGGCTCTGCCGTCCAATCAACATGCGTGACCTTTAAGGCGGTATTTTTAAAAAAACCACATCGCTGTCTTTCTTGGGCAATTGTGACAAAGGGTTAAAAGGGGATTCGCAGAGAGAGATTACAGGGTGGAAGTATGACCCTACTTCGCAGGTGGCACCGAGAGCCATATCTGAGGGCACGCGAGGCTTTGCCCTATGTCAGCTCCAATGAGCATGCGTGTGCTGGCCAGTTGATTTTCAGCTTTCCGGAGGGCAGGGGGCTGCCGTTTTTTGCCCTCCCCAGACTTCAGGAAAGTCTCCAAAGCCTGTGGATGGCAAAAAACGGGCCAGTGGAGGTTCAGAAATGAACTTCCGGTAGGTCCTCTGGGCCATTTTTTGCCTGCACGTATGCACCGGGGGGGGGGTTGGGCATGCATGCACGCGGGGGGGAGGACATTGCATTATGGGTGTGGACACACATGCATGTGCTATCACATGCACGTGTGTCCTTTTGACACCCAAGCAAAAAAATACATTCGCCATCATTGGTATAGATGTTCAAGGAGTAATCACACAGGTATTCCTCAACCAACTACCATAAAGGAGCCTACCCAGAGTGGATGGAAATCTTGACAGCTGTTAAACAAAGGGCCCATGTGACTGCCTCTTGCCTCACAAGGCACCCCCCCCTCCCTCGGTTATTCCTGCTCTTCCTGAGGTAGTTATTCAATAACCGTGGGGTTGGTTAAGTGATCCCTCAGGTCTAGGGCAAGGACCTTCACAGGCACGAACCTCTTCCCATCCCACTGGCTCCATACCCTCCTCCTCCTCTCCCCATGTCACCACTTGTTGAAGTTCTTCAAAACTCAGGGAAGAAGGGCGGATTGATCCATTCCTAGGCCATCCCGGAAGCGGCCGTTTTCTGGGTGGCTGCATTGTAAATGGCAGTCATTTTGGGGATTGTGCCCTGCTGTCCAGGAATGGCGTAACCTGCCATCCTGGTCTCTGGAGATCTTCAAAAGGTGAGGAGAAAGGAACTGGTGTGGTGGAAGCAGGTCCAAAGGCTGTAAATTTAGTTACTAAGGGATTAGTTGCAAGTTGAGGACTTGTATAACATAGCAATTACCGTATTTTTCAGAATATAAGATCCACTCCCCCCCTCTTTAAAAGAGGCTGAAAATTTGGGTGCGTCTTATACACCGAATGTAGCCAAAAACACGAGGCACGGAGGAGGCGATGGTCTCTGGCAATCCCTGCAGCCTGGAACAGCTGATTGGAGGTATTCCGGGAGGCCGATCCACCCACCAATCAACTGCTCGTGCTGAATCAGACTGCAATA